TTTTCATAAGCAATAGCCTTATACTCAAGATACTAATTTAAAGTGAGATTATTATTTTGCTTTCTATTGCCACATAATACTTAGTAACTTGTCAAAACGTTTACTTGTGTTAACTTTTACATAAACTCGAGCTGCAGAGGATTGAATTTTAAAGTAATTATTATAGAAATTTTTAAAAAAATATTAAAAAATATCCCATCCTAGGAAAAGCTGTTTAGGATGCTAATATTGCCTCATATTGACTGATGTTCAATTATTAGATAAAATAAAGAAAGTATTAGAGAAAAATTAAATTCTTTTTTTTAATTTAAAATATTATCCAGCCTAAAAAAAAATTGTTTAGGGTGTTAATATTGCCTCATGTTAATTGGTAGCGAAATATATTTATAATTTAATAAATAAATTTCTTTTCGTTTCCATACATATAAATTATCTCAACTATAAATAGTTTTAAACACACACCTAACACTCTTCAGTTGTACTATATATCTTGGTATAGGTATTGTGGCTTAATAGTGTGCGTATTGTCAATATAGCTGCAAAATAGTACACTTTTGTCCTTGTCGTATAATAGTAACTAGATATCACACTCAAGCGCCGAACGTGGTAGTAGCATTTACTGTGACGTCAGTGACAAGTCGTCATTGTTCATTTGGAAATGCGATGAGAGGTATTAATACTTTCAAGTGCTCTTTAATTAAAGACTATTCTTTGAATAAAGAATAGAGAACTGAAAGATAGATTTGTTTACTTTTTTAATACACTTCTTTTAGAGTGAATGTAGTAGCTTTGTATCCAACATTAGAGCAAAAGTAATACAGAAATTTTTGCATGCTAGAATATCATAATGTTTTTCATGTTGCATTCCGTAATATAATAAATAAAACTATACAGATAAAATTTCTATTCTAATACACTTTTAAGATAATTGACTGAACTTTATAATTGCATGAAACAAATATATTACGTTAAACGAAACAGAATAAAACATCCCGTAAATAGCGTGCTTCACACTTGCAGTCTGAATAAAATATAAAAATAATAGCCTAAGTAATACGTGAAATTTCAGTAAGTTACCCTTTATTCGAATAATTGCATTTGGGAACTGTATTTCTAAAATTTCTTTGTTAATATTCAATTCAAAATTTAACTTACATTAGTACAGTTGAAGAGAAAACTAAATGAACATTTTAATAATGTTTTTTTGGGGGGGGCAGAGGAAATTAATCATCTAAAGTAAAACTCAGTAAAAATTCGCTGGAAGTATATTTTATTTAATATAGTAAAAGTTATTGTAAATCTGAATTGGCATTTTTGTTTCTCTTTTTTCTCAGAAATATGCATATAAAGTGTCATAACTTTATTTGCCAGTATTTTAACTAACTAATTAAGGCGAATTATTAAAATATATATTATGAATGTATATATGCGTATAATAAAAAGTTAATTAATGATGAAAAAAGAAAGCTGCAGTTTTAATTCTTAGACAAAGCAGCTGTATAATTATGAATAAGAGGTCCTTCAATGTTGAGTATTTAAAACTACAGAACACTAGTAGTCGCGTTCCTGGTTCTGTTCCCTGCAGCTGCGTGGGTGTTTTCGCGGATTTTCCAATGTGTATTAACACAACTACGTGCTACCTTTTTACGTAGCTCTTCCACGAAGACATTCCTCCTTAGGCAGATACTTTTATGTGCTTTGATGTTACTATATAACCGTTAATTTGCATTTACTCTAATCTCAGTTATCATTGTACGACACAATTTAACAAATCTTTTGTTACAAAGAGCTCAGACAGTGAATTTTAAGAGTAATTTTGAGTTGATTTCTAATCCAGTTACTAAATTCTTTTATTAGACTTTGTTTTTTTTAAGTGATAGATTTTTTTTATAAAACTATCTATGTTTTACATTGCGAAATGCAATCCTCGTTAGTAATAATTAGCTTAAATTCTAAGTTCTAATAGCTTTTTTTCGATACATTGCCGGCCATCCAAAATGCTGAATCATGAAGAATAAGCAATATCTAAGCGCTGTATAAATAATATGAGATACGATGTGAATGTATTAACACTGCAGTCCCGGTTGACTGCTGATTAACACTACACTGATGATTAACACTGCACTGCTGATTTCTTTACAATCAGCATTTTGTGCAGCCACCGTAGTTGGCAAAAACTGCTGCGGCACGCCTCAACAGTGAAAAAAAGAGGTTTTGAATGTTTACTTGAGTCTATCAGTCCATGCAACTTCCCCACGTTTCCGTAATCGTGGGTGGGCCGCTTGTTTGTCAATCATTGGCCAAAAATATTCTCAAGGCGACAGACCGAGAGAAGGAAGGGCTAAGGCAGCAGAGCAAGTTCGTGGCTAATGAAAAAAATGTTCAACTTGCGTGTCACTTGCGGTTGCGTATTGTTTTAGTGAATCTTAGCAGCGGGCAAGATTTGAAGTTAGGGAAAACAACAAGCTTCAAAACTACAAAAATATAATGACGACTGTTGAGAATACCAGCGATGCGTATTGGGAAATAAACAAATATCTACATGCTCCACCAACAACTAAGAGCACTATATGGACTGGCTTCAACTGAAAACATCCATGTCAGGCGGGAGGTGGGACTACCAGTTAAAATACGTCTTGAAAAGTTACATACACAATCACTCCTGGTGCTATAGATTTCTGCCAGTACAGTAGTCGTCTCCCGGGAGGGGGCGGAAGAGAATAATGTCCAAAGATACCTTAAACAATAAATCCAGGTGACGGATATCGGTATGGTAGTATATAATGAAAGGATCGTGATATCTGTCACCGCAATACTTCCAGACTCTGACCATCGGGCTGTTGTAAGCAGAATCGAGATTCGTCTGAAAAGGTAATGTCATATGCAGATAATAGTAGCAATGGGTGCTTTACAAAGATTCTTCGCCTCCGCAGATAACATCGAATGTTAAGTATGCTGTCGTATATACATGCTGTTATGCAAGAGATTCTGATTCTCGCACTAGAATTCTTGGTACTACTGTGCGATCCATCGCTGCTATACATACAACTTGTCTAACCTCTCGTTCAGTAGTGTAATGAAATTGGTGTAATCGTTTCGTAGATCCGTACAAACCTTCTGAATCTACTAATTCCATATCTGCATCATTGTGGCTTGAGTTTGTCAAACACGAGCAGCTATTTCTCAGAAGGATAATTCCCAATCTATATAAGCCACAATTATTCCTCTTCAAAGAGCGCGCTTATTACCTGTGAGGTGGGCCGAGGTGTGCACTTGTTACTGCTACTACTATTATTACAATTCTTCCTCTGTCAGACTTCGAAACTTACTTGAATCGTAGCCAATTTTACTAGACAGAATGAAGCTTTTCCCACAGGTATAGGTTCAAGTACAAAGGGCAGAAGACCAGAATTTCAGTATTCATCGTACAGGTACGGTCTAACCACACTGACTGTACAGTTCCATCTCAATTTTGATGACGAACATGCCAGAGGATGATCCGATAATTGATCTCCCATCCCTCTTCCCATACCACCAAACTACTTGACAGAACTTTCGGCTGACCAGTACTTTGGTTTGGTTTAGTTTATTTAATTATGGGAAAGCACGCGAGGGCTACTTTTCTAAGGAAAGGGATGCCTTCGTGGAAGACTTTCTGAAGGAAACTGCCTCGTATACACTGCCAGTATTTTGAGTGTCCATACGCCCTTCCAGGATTCGAAACCGGGCCTATTGGTGCGGCAATGAACGTCGCTAACCACTATGCTGATCAGGGTGACAGCTTCTTACGCAAAGGAACAGCGGGAAAATGCACAATACAAGCACTTAAAACAATATATTTCTCTTCCTTTTTATTGTGTTTCTCTGTGAATTAGTGTCACACATGATTTAAGTATGCACTACAGTGCTAATCATTTGTATGCATGTCGAGGACTGCGCATGGTACACATTTCCAGCCTATTGGGTTCCTCCTTCCCAGTGTCACATTTTGGATGAATGAATTTTGCATTACCTCTGGTACACTCCTTCTTACTGACCAGCAATTTTCGATAGTCATTTTAGGTTTCCATTTTCCTTTATAACCTGTTTTCCAAGATAGTGGTTCGATTGTTTTAATCTCTGCCTTTCTGTTAGAAAATTTATCTATTTAAGTTGATGATGATTCCATTTATTTTAGATCTTTCTATTTTCACTGTACACATACCTTAATGGTAAAACTCACCGTATTTGTCATTTCAAGCCCTTGCATTATCTGAGAAACAAATCAAGACTGGAGTCAAGTGTTAGAACATTTGCGGGAAAAAATTAGAACGAATGGAATAGGGCTTACAGATGATGTTCCATGTAAACCGCGCGATGAGTGGCCGCAGGTTATTGTAAACTTTACTTTTACTTTCCGCTCACACCGTGCAAAACGTTTAGCATAACCCAAACAGTATACGTAGAATATTTCTGCTCTAGGCAGCTGTGCTGCATTTCTACTAGAGCTATAACAAAAGTTAGATGGAGCATTTAGATAATAGATATGCTGATTCATATCAAAAGAGGCTATAGAAGTGATAAAGAAAAAGGTGCTCCATGATATTTTTAAATTATGAAAACTATCATTTTTGATTTACAGAACTTATTGTTTCCTTTCCTCTCGTAAAATAAGAAAGCTTCAAATATGCCTTGGGTACCTTAGGATAAAAACTTTTCATTAGGTTCTTTACAAAACATTAAACAAGAGGGAGATCTGACCGAAAGAAAAAAAAAAGAGATATTTTTAACTCACGAAACGAGACAGTCTCGAGAGTAAAATCCACCAAGCAATTCTTTGCTCCTCTCTCTCTCCCTTTTTTTTTTTTTTTTTTTTTTTTTTTTTTTTTTTTTTTTTGTCTCCACTCTTCGTCACAGTAGCCGATCTACCGCAACAAATATCACTGTTAAGTACGGAAACTCCTGAAAAGAGGGAGAGAAGGGAAGGCAAGCTATAGTTGCGTTTCAGAGTTTCCGCTTACCTTGGGAGCTTCCGTTTTGCTCTTCGTCTTTCACTCCAGGTTCTGCGCTTCAGCTAGAACTCGTGCATCTGCATCCGTTCGAAATAAAAATCCATTTTCTGGGAACCCGTAACTCTAGAATTTTATGGCTTGGCTTCAGCTTTTGAAGCAGATTCCAGATCTGAAAACAGGTGAGGTATATATGCTTTCTTAAAATTTCAGTAAAATTAAATAATTTGAGTGACCTGAAACAGCAGAATTTTAAAGACATTGTTATTTATTTATTTAAGAATCTTTTATGGTTCGCTCTCAACTTTCGTTTGAAATCTTTAAGTGTTAGTACCTCTTCAGGCATGGAAAATATCCCTTAGTCAAATGTCATATCAAAGTTAGCTATTAGTAGAGCTAACCAGCATCTACTACTTAATTGGCCCACCAGCGGCCGAGCGGTAACGTCACTGAACACTGGTAGTTCGGTCCGAGGTTCGAATCCCGCGAACGGGCTGGCTGCATGGGTGTTTTCGTGGTTTTCCCCATGTGTAACGTGTATACGAGCCAGTTTCCCTTAGAAAGTCCTCCACGAAGGCATCCCTTCCCTTAGGCAGATAGCCCTATTGTGCTTTGCCATAATTAAATAAACCAAACCAAACCTTAAAAAGTCCTCCATGAAGGCATCCCTCCCTTAAGGCAGATAGCCCTCGAGTGCTTTGCCGTAATCTAATAAACCAAACCAAACCAACTACTACTTAATCATGAGAATTTCATGGTACTAAAAATTTGCTTCAGTATATTTACTGCTCTCCGAAATTTAGATGTAAATACATACTTAATGCTCTCGTGTTCTGTACTATATATAATACATACTCTCTATATATTCTACGTATTCTGTATGCACAAATGAGCTTCCAAGAAATTAAGGCAAAAGACTTTGAGAAGGCAGAAGCCTCTTAGTCGGAAACGCAACGGAATATGGCTTCTACATTTAAACCACCAGCGAACAAACGTTTGCCACAGGTTGACTGCCTAAGCACTGGAGCACTGGTAGTTCACCGAACGTTTTGCCTTGGTGGTGGAGAGGACTATGTGCGTGAAGTTTTCGTGGTCTTCCCTCGTGCAACCAGCCCTTTCTACGGCCGAGAGCAGTGACTAAGTGCAATGCATTTCTCTTAGAATGTTCTCCTATAAAGCTTTCTTCCCAGTAGGAATATTTGCCATAATTAACAAATCCATACCTTGTGAGTGGATATTCATCAGCACTCTAAGTAGTGTATTTCAGCAGACAGGTATTATGTCTTGGAATTTATTCGATCCTAGCCCTGCTATAAAATTCTGTCTCCAGTTTTGCTCTGTTGAAACCAAAAGAAATGTTTTAGAATGACCTTGAACACATCAAACGTATGATTTGCTGAACCAATGGAACCTATAATTGTCTTTCTGCTATATTTATATCAACTTAAAGTTCTTTTCTTTTATATCATTGTACGAAGTAAAGGAAGTATTGTATTAAAAATTTTTTTGGGGTGTCATAGTTCAACAGAAATATTAATTTTGACAGTTCCTGAATCCATTTGGACGATTTGTTTTGTAACGGCGGTACGTACGGGCAGACTAAAGGACTGTTTTTTCCCAAACGGATTGTAAAAGGCGTTTGAAGTGGATTCAAAAAGGATTTTTTCGAGCCATCTGTACTTACGTACGTGTGTGTATATACTTACTTTGCATGGCTTAAAAACAATTAACCGTAGAAAGTTCAAATTTTGTATGGGACTACTATACCATCTAGTTGTGCATATCCCTTTTTTATTGCAATCGGCAGAACCAAACGTATGTAACCCACCCCTTTACCCGGCTTAAAAATCCTTACCCAGCGTTTACTTTCGCAATCGTTGGTCCTAGTCATATACATCTGATTACAAAAGTGTTTTAAATGACGAAAATAGTTATGCTTGGCAATCTCAAGTCATTAAAAAATTTAGTTTTTGACAAATAACGAATCTAATTTTGAATGCCGTCTCCTGGTTCTTATATTTATATTTTGGAAAAAATTATACCTGTTGCGAAAAAGTAAAATTATAAGAAGTTTGAATTCCGTATGACAAAAATTCACCGGGAAATTTAATTTCAAAATTTTTTAATTTTTGATATCATTTTCAACTTACTTTGAAAGATCGATTAATTAAGTTAGAAAAATTCGAGGAAATAAGTTTAAATGAAGTGCAGCAGAAAATGTGTATAATTTAATAGGCCGTACAAGGAAATCATGTGGTGTCCACATCAGATTTTTTGTTTTTTTAATACCGACGCCATCACTATTCTCTCCTCTGACACTCCAGAACCGAATGCAAGGGGGAAAAAAATAGGTTTCTAATTCTTCCAGAATATCCAATATTGAGCTCAAAGCATCAAATCTAGGCCTTGGTTTTACTCATATATCAGTACATCATATAAGCAGTACATCATATAGTCCAACATCTCTTCTGAGTAGGCTCTGGCAACCATTGTTCCATGGAATGTGGACACGACAACAACAAAAATTGTTCATGTTATTTATTATTGTTTATGTTATTTATTATTGCTATGATAAAAGTAATTTTGGTTTCTGTTATCCTGCAAAGCACTTTTAAGTTAATTAAAGTTCTTTCTCCTATTACTATATGTGACTGCTTGTACCATATGCGTGCTTATATGATGTACTGATATATGATTTACTTAGTGTTAGCAGTGGAATTACCAAGGCGAGTCACTAATTTATAGCCCTATGTGTTTCGCTTTTGCTGTTTAAATTAAAACTTTGTAAATTTTTTAAAATTTTTATAAATATTCAGAAATTTTTCCTCCGACAAAATTTCGTTGATATTCAAAACTTTATTTTCCACTAAACGGCATACCCAGAATTACCTTCGCGGGCCATTGTTGATTCAAAAAGAATAGTCTCGTTATCTCGTGTTTCATCTGACTTTCAATTCCTCACTGTAGAGCATTTCAGCTTAATTCGTTCATAACGACTGTTCGTTCAAATATATTTCCCCCTCCTTTCTGCATGCCTTCGTGGTGTAACGGTAGCACAGTCGGCGCGTATTCAAAAGGTCCAGATTCCGGGGAGGGCATTCCTCATTTTCCATGTCCCCTGCTTCAAAATCCTAATGACTCTGCAGTGGCGCCCGAAATGGAGGAGTGGATGACGATTCTTCACCACCATGATTTGGCGATTGGGTCACTTAATCCCAAATCGCCCTTTAAAAGGGGGGGGAGTATATAAGGTATTTTCTCTCTCCTTTCTGCATGCCATGTGGTGTAACGGTAACACACTCGGCGCGTATTCGAAAGGTCCAGGTTCGAGTACTGGCCAGGGCATTGCTCATTTTTCATGTACTCCTGCTTCAAAAATACCTAATGACTCTACAAACATTCGTTAATCTTTAAATTTTTGCGGGTGCTTCATGTTTGCATAATCTTCTCATCCGAGAAAATTTACATTATGTGAATCAAAGAAAAGCTAGGAAAGCGTTTGACTTAACTGTTAAAAAAATTTAATACTATTCCCACTAGGATGGAGATACTTCATCTTTTATCTCTTTAAAGCACTGCCAGTTGCGTGCAAATGAATTTGTGCTAGAATCACAAACTGCATTTTTGCTTCCCATTTTAGGAAGAATGATATAATTTTCTCATTTAAACCATGAACATGTAGTGGCTTCGGGGCAAAGATTTAAAAAAGCTCCATCATGAAGAAATGAAGCATCCCATTTTGCATTAAAAAAATCGTGTATAAAAATTATGTTTCAAAGAATTAAGTAGTTCCCTTTAAAATTATTCTGAAATCTTCACAATTTTTTTTTTCAATGCATATTTGTGTTTTGAAAAGCTTTAATAGCAGCTGCAACACTATGAATTTCAACTGCTACTTGTTAATAATTCATTTGTATCTCTGATGCTTGTTAATTACTTTTTGAATTTCAAAATTAACTTTCGTGACAAAGCAATTCACTTAGCTGAGCATCTTCCGCAGCTATGTTATCCTCGCCATTGTTTCATCGTGGCGAGCTGCAACAGTCTCCTTTCGGGGCCTTTGAGAAGAAAACATTCTAAAATGGTGTGTGTGTAAAGAGAGACTTACTTTATCATTTCTTATACAAAGTTACATTGCATGAATTGAAGTTATTTAAAATTCACATCCTTATCAACAAAGTAAAAAAAAAAAAAAAAAAAAACGTCTTTTAAACCGAATTTTAAGTTAGGGGAACTCTAGTTTAGGGAATTTAAATTAGTGAACAGAATTTTAAATAAAGGGAAAATTTAAGAAATGGTTCATGTACTGAATAGACACTCGTTAAATTTAAATTGTTCGTACTTTTTCGTAAAAGCTCTTAAGATCTCGATCAGTTAAGAAGGCCGCCAGGGGCCGCGCTGAGCACTGGTAGTTCAGATAGGGGCTCGAATCCCAGTGAACGGTCTGGCTGCATGGGCGTTTTTATTGTTTTCTTCATGTGAAAAGTGTATGAGAGCCAGTTTTCCTTAGAAAGCCCTCAACGAAGGCATCCCCCCCTTAGGCAGATAGCCCTCTAATGCTTTGCTATATTAAACAAAATAAATAAATAAAAAGATAAAAATCTGAAAGGTTTCAGATTTTGAGTTACGTCCGAAGGGCGTTTTTTTTTTTTTTTTTAACATTTTGTCTGTTACCTCTATTTATTAAATATCAGGTTCTTCGCATTTAAACCATAAAAATTCAGTTCAAGAGCAATATCAGAAAATAGTTTTAAATTGAGCATACGGGGCAGTATCACGCGAGGGAGATTAAAATGTTTTTTCCCTACAACGTTGAAATTGCTCGCTTTGAAATCCTTGAGTTTGTTAATCAAAAATTCGTTGAAGATGTTACAAAATATGAAATCGATAATAAAACGAATTTCAAATTTCAAATTAGTAGAGCTTCCACATGCCTATATTCGCAGTGGAGACATTAACGTCATTCAAAAGTGGATGCCTCTATGCTATAGTTGTTTTATTCACAAGTGCCGAGAAACATATGCATACATTTATGCAGATTCTTCACGATTTAATTTAATTCAAATATAATACAGGGATTGATAATATTTGGTGGCAACAGTTTGAAAAGTGAAACGGA